CATGGCTAGTGCAAATGTAGCATCATAAGCCCATAATCCAAAAATATCTAAGTCAGCATTAACATAACTAGGATTATCCTGCAAGAACTTCCTTTTCCATCTAAGCTGAAAACTATCTAACGCTTTTGATTTCGGAGTGTAAGTCCTCACACCCAAAACCCCCTGCATGGAATCCATATCTAAACGATTCACCAGACTCCAAACATTAGTTATCCCATCAGTTATTATCCAAACATACCCTTCACCCATCATTCCAATCTCTTTTGCTTTGTCGAAAACCCGAGACCCAAGTTCTGGAGTCATATGAACAATGAAAACTCTAGTTTGCATCGTCATTAACTTATACAATTCTCCTTCGATCTCCTCATCGGTGGCCTTTTGTGAGATAATGCTCCGATAAGGAACCCGAGCATTAACCTCTTCCAAGGCGTCGATTAAGTAAGGTATAACCCCTTCTCCAAACTCATTATCTACATGTATAGGGACGGCTTCTCTCCAGTCGAAGGCTTCAACAATAGCACTAATAGCTTTGACCTGAGAAGAGTCGTTTTGCGTTGCTCGCAAGAAGTATGGGCTCCGAATGGAGGTAAGAGAAGGACTTGTTGCGGAGAAGGATATGATGGGTACTTGTGCTTTGTTTCCAAGATCTATTACGAAGTTTGCTTGCATTGAATTTTCTGTTCCTATGATTGCTTGCACTTCGACATTCTTAATCAAGTCCAGACCTGTTCATCAAAACAAAATTTTGGGTTAGTTTTCACATGATATAAACTTTTAAGAGATATTTTAATGAGTATTTATATTGAAAATTTATCCCTTATTCATTATTTGATAAAAAAAAAAAAAAAAAAAGTATGATCTGTTAGTTATTTAGTTAGATAATATTTAATAATTATTAATGGAATCAATGATTATATGAATATATAATATTAATATTTTCATCAATTTTTTTTATAGAATATCAAAATACTATTTTTTTTCCCCTCGTGATCGTTAAGTAGTTTAGTTCAAAATTTTTTATTAAAAAAAAAATCAAATAGTCAAATATTCTCTTTACAGCCATGATCCTGTTGAGATTTGATTGAAGATTTTGCCGCTTTTAGGTTTATTTGACTTTTGAAAAGTCACGACTTCTTATTTGAATACATTGTTTAGCTTTCATAAGGAAAATAGAAACCACGGCTGCCTCAAACTTATAGGATTGTTGGTTTTAAGACCTTAAATTGAGCCCCTAAACTACATAAACTTGTCAGATTAGCCCTTACTAACGGTAAAACGTTCATTCACCGATTATTTTGTGCCACGTGGGCTTTTGTTGGAAGCAAAATGGAATAATTGCAAAATTGACTCTGAACTTTTCACATTTCCATTAAAACATTTTCTTGAATTTTAGAGAATTTAACTCATTCAATCTAAAATAAATTAAACATTGAAAACCAAAAAAACCAATCACTTATCCGTGAAAAGCTTGTTCAAATTGTTTGGATTGGATTTGCTAGGGTTAGAATTTTGATTCAAATCAAGCCATTTATCATTTGGGACCCATAAAGGGTATTGATTTGGGGATTTGATAATCTCTATATATTATTTTTAGGAATTGTGGATACATTGATCTGGATTTCTATCAATTTAAAAAGATATATCCTTCCTCCATATTGGGTTTGGTTGATATAATTTTTTTTTTTTAATCTTAAGTTAGTAGTGGGGGAAAACATAAGAAGTCAAATTGCATTGATTTTGATTAGTGGGTTTTTTTTTTTATTCAATTTTCAATGAGATTCTTTTGGGTTGTTTGGGACCTCGTCAATAGAGAGACAAGAGGACAAGTAAGCTATTGGTGAAAATAATAAAGGGTTTTTTGTATTAATTTTTTTTTCTTTTTGACTTCTTAAGGTTT